GTACGTTCCTTTTAAAAACCGAGAACACCGTACGAATAGGATGCGTTGGTTTTTAGCCAGAAAACATAAATTTACCACGAAAGCCGTTCGGTATGGTGTGGTGTTCGCAAATGTTTTCGAATCGATGAACACACGTCGACTGATTCTAAACGCTATACAATCGATATTATTAGCATTGTTGTCTGGTACCATTGTTTATATATATATATATATATTCTTCAATCCCATACATATACTTGTGCGTGTGTGTGCGTGCGAGCGCTTTATTTCAAACGCAATCAAATACTTACACGCCCACACTGCTCATACCTACACATTTACCCGTTGAAAACAACGACGAATATATACGAGTATATATAGTATACATACATATCACGCGTTATTGATTTCGAATTCATCTCGCGCAGCATAACGTTCGAACATGTTGTACACATACATATGTACTCAGTGTGTGTGTGTGAGAGAGAGAGAGAGAGAAAACGAGAAATGTCGGGCCAGAGGGTGTGGGCAGGGGTGAAACATTTCTCTGCGGGATTGTCCGCACCGTATGCTGTGCGCGCGGAAGCAAAATCGAGCGAATAAAAAAAAAAAAAAAATATGTCAGCAAAGACCGTTCGCATTCAAAAGCAAGGGAAAAATCGCGCATATATTCGACGGAGAGGAAAACCTTTCGACGGAAAACTTGCACGTATCCGTGCTGGGGTGCCTTTTATATTATAGGAAAATATAAAATGATTGAAAAGGCGGGCGAGGGCTACGGGGATAAAATCCCTGGGTATGCGCCTAATAAAAAGGAAATAAAAATATATTCGACGCGTTTAAGTTTATTAAAAAATTCGTTTATATTATACAATATAGTTTTCGCATCGACGTACTCCGTACGTGCGTTACGACGGTTTATCCGCTTTTGAGAAATACGCATAGTAAAATACAAAAATATTTATACAAAATGTACGTTTTTTTGCAAGTTTTCCATCATCGCTACACAAGTAGGTTAGGTTAGGTAGGTAAGTAGGTAGGTAACCTACGTATTTTTGATGGTATTTATTAACTTACTTTAACACGTTAGCTGCCGTGTATCCGTTTGACCGCCGACGGTCAAACGGCGGTCATTTATTGATACGCCAAGTGTGTTTTCACAAGTTATTATTAATTTGTATGTATTTATATATTTGGTTCTACTAGAGCTATTAAATTGATTCCTAGAGTAAAATTATCAGCGATACGTTCTAATTTTAAATATTGTTATAACTTTGTATGGTTTTCGGCGACCATGTGGCGTGGTGATAATATGATTTTACTTCTGGCGTCATATGCCCGCCGGCGACCAAACGACAAACATACTACAAACATATACAAACATGAGAAATGGCACGACAAACGAGATGTTGCCATTTTGTCTACCAAATACGCAGTGGTGGATCTAGGATTTTATAATGGAGGGGAGGCATATAAAATATTTTTGTATATAATAAGTATAGGTATTATAAGCTTTATTCTACTAAATTTACAAAACAAAATTTAATTTTTTTGACGACTGTGCCATTTACTCTATGGCTGTATCCCGGGCCATGATATAATTATGAGGTATACATATCCGTAATCTGATATGAATTTAGATGCTAATGTATACTAGTGTATCCTTCTTGGTTACAAAATAATGAAAACGAAATAATAAAAAAATTGTTTTTATTCAAATTGTGCATGCAAAAATTGAATTGGTTGCAAAAAAATTTTTTAAACTCTCACGGGGGGGGGGGATCTATCCCCCATATCCACCCCCGTAGATCCGCCATTGCAAACACGGTATTGAAATTATCGATACAAACAGAAAGAATCGAAATGATGAACCGATTTTAAAACCACAAATAATTATAGACTACAACTCTTGAAAGGCAGGGATAAACTTATCCTATCAACTATCAAGTTATAGTTCTCCGATAGGTAAGTCAATACGATGGTACCATAAAGTGGCCACTTAAATTGTATTAGGTACATCGGTGATCAATGATTTTATTGTGTATAATATGAAGAAACTTCCAAACGAAAAAATGTCCATTAAAAAACTTCGAGAAATGTTAGTAGATGAACTGTTAGGATTAGACCAATTAACCAACATATCTGAAGAGCCGTCTAATTCAAATAATAAACGTAAAAGATTCAAACATGTTTTTGAAAAAATCTGTTGAAAGCGACAATAGGAACAGGAAAATTAGAAAAAGATGCTTACACTGTTACTCACATAAAACCACAACTTTAGGTTCAAAGTCAATTGCACTTGAAACCAAAAAGGTAAATACGCTTTGTTCAACATGTAAAATGTATACATGCATTGATTGTTTTAATAAAAATTATGCAAATTAATTATTAGGTAAGATTATTATCTTCATTTTATATAATTTAAAATTCTTGAGATCAACAATAAGGTTTAAATTAAAATTTAATTGTGTTTAATTTATCAGCTAAGCGACAATTATTTGTTTTTAAACATATTTTTATGATACTTTTTAATGTCGACCACCCACCCATTACTCATAAACATTATCAAAGCAACTCCAATGAAGGTAATTTTGGAGCTTAAGGTAGTGGAACTTAGCACTTAAGGCATGAGCCAAAGTCCAATAGAGTGTCACATGTTCAAAATTGAAATAAAACCAAGAAAATTGCAAATATTTTTAATCGCCCAATTTTTTTTCGGAGGATCAACCGACCCCCTTGACCCATGAGGTGTGCGCCACTGGTTACATATAGTTACTCTTACATTTTTTTAACGAGAATTAGGAAAATTATACACTATTAGCTATCTCAATTACTTATGAATTTTGTAAGCCTTTTACGCTTTCCACTGCTTTCTCGTACTTTTCGGAAGAACGTATTGAATTTAACAATTTTGGTTATTTCAAAAGAAATTCATTAAATTGTGAACAAGTTAAGTTTTTAAAGTGTTGTTTTGTAATTATTATCAATCTAAGGGTTTCGACATTATAACGGTTTTTTACATCTGTCTTCAATACATTTGTTATTGAAAAATTCTTTCTACAGATGCATTTTTTTTCCAAGAATAACCAATAAGTATTCAATAATTGTTAAGAAGTTGTTGAAAGAAATATAATTTTTTTCTAGTGTTTTAAATACATCACACTATTTTTCTGTGATATTTTTTGAAAAATTTTTCCATTCTACAATTTTAACTTATATCACATGAACTACATGATTATATTCATTAAATAACTTGTCCTCATCCACATGAAAATCCTGGTTAAGTTTTTTATTTTTAAATAAATATTAAATATTTTCTTAAAGGTCTACCCAAACAGCAATATGTAATAATTGAGTTCAACGAAAATTTTTGAACGATTCAAAATTACAACTCCATTTTTCTACAAAAGATAAGAATACACTAAAAAAATCATCAACGTTTTCCATAAAATTATTTTTGCTGTATATCTTTTTTTTATCAAGGTTTTCAATGATTAAACATATTTAGATATTTTATTTACAAGCATTAATATATTATATAATAAATAATATGGAAATAACGGGATTAAAACGGGACAATTTTTTAAAAACGGGATAAAAAGCGTCCCACTCGTAGTTGGTCGGGACAATGGGACATGATGATCAAAAAAAGGGACAATCCCGTTTTAAACGGGACGTTTGATCACCCTAACTTACATACCTATAGTTTTTATTGAAGCAATCGATTTAACCAGTTGTTTCTATACGAATAAAATGCTCGTATGAATATAATATTAAGTCTACATGTTTAAACGATGTCAACGCCACATATCTACAGCCATAGCATTTGACACTCAAAAATAGGTACCATTGGAGGTGGGATGCACGGAGGTGCATCTCCTGACTTTTAAAAAGAATAAAATTTAAAAATGTAGGAGAGAGGCTACTATTATCATTATCAGATTTTTGTGTAGCCCACGTTGCTTTGTAGTCGCCAAAAAAAACTAAAATAACTTATCATAGAAATTGAAAAAATATTCCTACGTATTTAACTTAAACAAATAAATAATGCTTTGTTGAATAATCAGCGTTTATATTATGCACGATGCACCCCTATTATATTTACCATTATATTATTTTACAAAACTGCTCTAAGCTTATGTTTACTGATGGCATAAAACTTTGTGGAGTAGTTAATTGTATTTATGATGCTAGATTATTACAATCTGACTTAAATTTACTTTTTAAATGATGCAAAAACAATTTTGTCGCATTTAATATTTATAAATGTCAAGTAATGACTTTCTCTCAATCTAACTTAAGTAATTTATTTGATTGTAATATTAATGATGAATCCTTACCCAGAAAAACTGATGTTATTAAAAATTTAAGTGTGCTCTTTGATCCGAAACCAACATTTATACCACATATTTATCACACTAAAAATAAAGCCTTGAAACTATTTTAGTGCATTCAGTGTATTTGTGTTGACTTTAACAATATAAATATATTTATTTTAATTTATTGTTCCATAGAGTGTTCAATTCTAGATTACGGCTCTGTTATCTGGTCTCCATATAATATAGGTTTAAAAGCTAACACAATATTGATTATTATTTTTTGTTTAAAAACTCAACCTACAAATTATGTTACCAAATTTCCAATATCTAGAATTATGTTCACTGTAAATATCTTTTAAAATTGAATTTTTCTGCTCTACTACTTTTAAGTATTTTTTTAAAATCATGTTTGTATAAGTTTAATTTTACATAATAATTGATATAATAATGTTAATAATAATAATCCTACATTATATGTTATATTATTATAATTATAAAACTGCTGGTGAACGAAGAAAGGTAAAACTGTTTTTTTTTTGTTTAATTTTAACAATAATACAATAATCAATGTTTACGTTTTTTAAATGACAACGAAATTATGTTAAAATGATAGTTTGTTTATTCAACAAAACAAAAATGTCTTCAATCATATACGTAAACATAAAACGAAATAGGTACATTATAGTTTTGACAATACGTTTAAAAATTATCCGTACGATAAGCATATTTTAGACAATACAGGTAACTATTTAGGGTAAAAAAAAAAAAAAAAATAGTAAATAATAATAGTAATGATAATTACGTAAATAAATAATAAGGACACGTGTTGTACGAAAACAAGAACACAGCTACGTATTATAATAATCTTATTAAAAGCACGTTCGTATAATAAAATATGTACTATACGATGTATGTATATATAAATGTAAACACAGAACATTAATTATAGTTATTTAAGACGTGTACGGTTAATAAGTGTAACCTATGTGCGTACGCGCGAGACACGGTCACCGACGTACGGCGTTGATTAGGATTACGAATGCACATCGGAGACAGATATTATTTAACAACGGTATTACGGATTCTCGTCACCGAATCATTTCGACGGCGGACCGAAAACGTTCGAACGTTGTTGAAACAAAACGGTAGAATAGAAAGAAGAAAACAATAGCGTACACGTTATGCACGTCATGTACACAATAATAATAATAATAATAATAATAATAATAATAATAATGATAATGATAATAATAATAGTAATAATAATAATAATAATAATAATAATAATGATAATGATGATTTGTACATTTACACGCGCGGCTGATGCGTATCGTTGTAACGGTACCGGAGGAAAACGGATAAGACTTGCGGGGCAGCGGTTTGCAGCGGTGGTTCGCGCGACAACGTTCCGCGGCGGCGGTGTCGTCGTCGCCGTCGTCTGGTCCGCCCTTTACGTGAGACTTCCGGACCGGAAATCGGTGTGTTGCGTTTCCTTGTGCCTGCGCAGGTCGACTTTGCGCTGGAAGGCCCGGCCGCACAGGTCGCACGCGAACGGTTTGTACCCGGTGTGCTTCCGGCTGTGCGTGATCAGGTTGGACGACTGGCTGAACGCCTTGCCGCACACCTGACATTTGTGCGGTTTCTCGCCTGCAAAACACCAAATCCAAACAAGGTTACGCTTTTTCTTTTTTTCATCCTTTTTTTTTTTTTTTTTTTTCTACGCGTATATCGCGCGAAATGCACTAAACTAGTGTTTAGAAATGTTGGCCCGGTCGGCTCGCACGACGACACGTTTACGATTGTAAATTCATTCCGTTCGTGACCCTGTGTGTACACAACGAACTGCACGAGCTAATGTAACAGCCCTGCGGACGATACGGTATATCGACGACGCGGACTCAACGCTCAAGGTCGTCTTAGCCTACGAAAACAACTAGGTGTCGTAACAATTGTCCGGTTAATGTTGCACTAGTGAAATTACGTATTTTTGGAAACATCCGAATCGAACCAACACACTCGTTAATAATTGTTTTGTTTTGTAATTTAATGAACCTATTTCATTTTTTACTTCGCGCACGACATTATCGGACTAATCGTGAAGTAATATCTCGCGGTTTTCAGTTGGCGTATTGCCGATTTATAATAAAAATAAAGGCAATGAAGAAATCAACGCGCTAGAAACTAATTAAGAAGTTAATAATTAAATTTAATATTACGAAGAAAGATTTATTACTTAAAATCCGACCGTGTCGTAGTGATAATTTTTGGAGCCAAGTTCTTTGCCTTAGAAGGGAAACGGGTAACGGGAGACAACTGGCAAAAACCGTAACCGACAACGAGCGATATCCAGCCGAGTCGGGTCTAATAGTACGTGACAAAATACTATATATACATATAGTAGATGTCCAACCTTTTTTCCTCGGTGGGTCACTTTGGTAAACAATTATCTTAGAGCGGGCCACCAAATATAAAAGTAAGTACGAATAATATCAGTATTAATCTGATAATGTTATTTTGATACACACAGTAGGTGTGCAGTATACATTTAGGTGCAATGTAACCTGGTACGTATTGAATTTGTTTTCAAATATTTTATCGACTACTGAAAAGATAATACGAGTAGATTGAGGTGCACGCTGTAGTTGCACATTATTTTTTATCAATACGCTCTTTCAAGTGTTCGGGTTATATCGTGAAATTTCTATTTGAAAATGTTCAAAAATTAAATTAATAAATTTAAAAAAAAAAAATCGTAATTTTTAATACGAGTAGTTTTATTTTTTTTAAATATTTTGTTTTATTTATGGTAAAAAAAAAATTGTAACGGGCCACATTGAATACCTTCGCGGGCTGCGGGTTGGGCACTACTACTAGTGATGGTACCGTGTTCAAAACTCGGTATCAATTCAAGCTTTTCGTATTTTTAATAAAAATTGTGTTCTAATTTTCTCGCACACACGTTATCTTCAGCTGATATCACATTAACCATAAATATTTAATAATATCATAATTTAACAGATCTGCCCTCGAAGAACTGCGATTTGTTGTATAGAAGGAATGCGAATAACTTTTACTTCGGCGTAATGTTAGTGTACGATTAATCGTGAATGAACAGTGCAGAGGTTCAACATGTAACTGCAAGACGGCAGTTTGATTTTATATAATACGTAGTTGTTAATACATTTTGCACACGGTCAATGCATCTGCAGTCATGGTGACGTTATTAAATTGTTTTATACGTTTTCGCTGTATGTTACGTATAATTTTATATTTTTCATTGGGATTAAAAAGTTTCTATTTCTGAGGTCATAATTTTGTCGGGTGGGTGCGAGATAGCATTTTGTTTTGATTTTCATTTTTATCACTCAGCCACGATGCTACAAGCCCCCCTCCTCTCTATACACTGATGTTTACTAATTATATGTAATTACCATATACCTCTACACGTAATTATAACGGTTTGCTGCGTATACAAACGCGATATTTAACAGTGAAATAATATACGATTTACATAGATTACAGGTTAGGTAGGTACTTTGGCACGTATTCATTATGCATATCATAACTCCTCGAAAATTGTTTTCATTCGTGAATGTGAATGCAGTTAATGTGAATGCACTGCAGTCACAGTGTTGAGCTAATGTTGAATACATTGCATCGCTTCTTTTCAATGTTAAAGTTGTTTAATATTCTTTACAAAAATACCTAATAATGAAGGTTGTATACGGTACATTAATAATAAATGAACAATAATATGAGATTATAAAAAAATTATGTTTGAAAAATCGTTTTTAATAAGAATGTCAAAAGTGGTATATCAAAAAAAGACCAAAAGATGAAAGTTATGTAATGTTAAACCTTCAATAAACTGTAATTTATTCGGCCCTTGTTTTTGGATCAATGCCATAACACATATTTATTATATCTATACTAATGCTACAGTATATTGTTTTATGTGTATATCGTCGTTAATATAATTAAACAAAATGAAAATTAATTTCTTTAGACCAAATCATTATAAAAAAAAAAAATAATAATAATTACGTATGATATACGATTTATATTAATAATTGACATAATAAAAATATTATTTCATAGGTATTTGTATAATTTATAAATACTATATGAAATAAACGTTAATTTTTTCTTTTCTTTTTGCAAATGAAAAAGGCCACCTAAATATGATACTTTCTAATTTGTGACAATTTGTGTTTACTATTTAGGTTCAAAGATTTAAATCACGACACCATATGATACTTGCGGTTCAAACGTCTTGGCTTAGGTTACCAACTATAATAACAGAAATGAAGTTTTGATTTCAACTTTTTAAAATTGATTCCGATAATAAAAACAGCAACCATTAAAATAATTAGATTGCTGAAAACCTGATTTTGTCAAGTTAACTTAATATGATTACGGCGAAGTCTAGCAGTCACGTTCGCGAAAGTGTTATCAATAATAGATAAATATTAATATTAATTATTAATGAATAAACTTTTTTGAAGACATTTTTCTAGGGAAATATTTTTTCATCGAAAATTTGTACAATAAAACAAAAGTTTTATTGGTACCTATAATACGTAAATCCCATGAAAATGAACCAATATAAGTATCGGATTTAGTTTTATGACTTATACAACAAATACAGTAATGTAAATTACGGTCGTATATTTCAAAAAATATACCAATAAAAATATGTTATTGGACAATATCAATCAAAAAAAGTTTTGAATTTATAATGCACTTATTTTTTTTAGTTTTATGTACTCGTAGATATAAATCTTTTATGTTTGAAAAAAATCACTTGAATTTATAATAACTGTAAATTTTGAATTTTACGGCAGGTGTTTTATAACGTACACGTATATAAGTTAAAAATCGTATGAAATTACAGTTTCATAAGTAATAATAAAAATGATAAAAGACTGTATTTTGTGTAGGATTATTGATATAAATCAATTGCGATTCGAAGTAGTCTTGAATATAATTTACCGAAATACATAAAATCTGTGCTTGTGATTCATTGCAATAGATTAAACAATTATGATGTCTGTAAGATCATATTACGAAATTGACCATACACCAACGTTTCTGAATTTTTGTGCACACATATTTGTATAGTTAAACTACAATTTGTTACGACTTTTTGGTGTGACCAATTAGTTGGAAGTCTTATTCATAGCTTATAAACAACACTGAAAAGTCTAAAAAGTTTAATGAAATATTAAACAACCTAACCGCAGGGTGGGCGTGATGAAAAAAACTGTCCAGCAACAGTTTGAATTATTCGATTCGAGCGCCACAGGGAACGGGCGTATCACCGGGGACCGTACGCGTAAGACGTCAGCGGATAACGATAAGGCTCGCAAAGTCAGAAGATTGTATACAAATTATTTGAAAAATGTATTTGATTATTGGTCTATAATAGGGCGTAATTTTAACATTGACCCCGGGCAAAAAAATCTCTAGTTCCACCTCTGCGCGTACCTACGTCATACGATATTCGACGGGCGGCCCGGGGATTTTCGCGCCCCGACGTCGCGGCGGCGTGATTGAACGGTAGTACCACACACACGCGTGAAGATACGTGTACGCCGCGGCCTCTAATGAAGTTCTCTTCGACGGCGGCCGTGCTAAAACCCGTTACCACGGTTACGGTGTAGTAGCCGTACACGCACGCACCGCACTGGCGTCCGTGTACGTAAGCGCACCTCTCCCCGCCCGGCCACACGTCGCGCGGCCCTACCCCGACCGGCCGACGCTGAAGCGCAAGCCGTATGCACGCCCGCGCGATTTCGGTGGTCCTGTGCGTGCGTGCGCGCACGTTCGTCGCGAACCGCTAGCCGGAATGGGCGGAGCCGACGCACGGGCCAATCACTGCATCAAACCGAGGTTTCTATTATCGCTACCGCGCGCTGCAGCGACCCCCCCCCCCCACACGAAACCAGCCCCGCCGTCGCGACCACCGTTCGATCGGCCGCCGCCGCCGCCGCCGCCACCGCGCCCCACACGTCCGCGCTCGGAGCAAATCCGGTGTACGTGGACGCATTATCGGCGCGAAGAGATGGACAATAAAAACGAGAACGACGCACGGTCGTCGTGCCCGGACGGGAAGTGAGAAAAGCGGCGGAAACTAAAAGAAAAAAAATATAAAAAAAAAAAAAACATACGACGGAACACTCGCGCTATTATCAGCACCCGAAACGATTGCTCCAGCCGTTTAACCGTGCACCGAGCGCAAGTTAAACCTTGTGACGTTTCGACGGGGCAGTCGTAACGCACGTACCGCGGCCGTCGTTTGGCCGGACTTTTCAAGACGTCCGAACGCATCGCGGTGACACATTTGACGGAAGGTTGTTCCGTCCTCCGCAAAACCGTTTTGCATTTCGTTTTGCGTTCCGTTAAACGCGGTAACCGAAGCTGCGCGGAGCGAATGCAGAATACAGCCGTTTAAAGGGCGTTTAACCGAAGTCACCGTAAATAATAATCGCCGCTATAAAACCTGGTGGTTACCGTGTTTAAGTGCTCGCGTTAATTTCGGTCGCAAGCTAAAAAGTCGAGTCCGCGACCCCCGACGCCAGCTGTACCTACGTGGGCTTTATTATTCGCAGCCGTCAATGTCCGGCGACATTTAATGTAGTTACGCA